TTTCTGACCCCAGTATCCTGCCGACTACGGTCCACCCGGCCTCCGTCGCCTACTACGGTCACTCCGACCTCCATCACAGGACAACGGTCTTTCTGACCCCAATCTCCTGTCGACTACGATCCTTCTGACCTCCGTCGCCTACTATGGTCCGTCCGACCTCCATCAACAGACAAAGGTCTTTCTGACCCCGGTCTCCTGCCGACTACGGTCCACCCGACCTCCGTCGCCTACTACGGTCACTCCGACCTCCATCACAAGACAACGGTCTTTCTGACCCCAGTCTCCTATCGACTACGGTCCTTCCGACCTCCGTCGCCTACTATGGTCCGTCTGACCTCCATCAACAGACAACGGTCTTTCTGACCCCGGACTACGGTCCTTCCGACCTCCGTCGCCTACTATGGTCCTTCCGACCTCCATTAACAAACAATGGTCTTTCTAACCCCGGTCTCCTACCGACTACGGTCCTTCCGACCAAACAAACATGTATATGTAACTCCTACCATGTAATGCAATATATATGATGTATATTTGCTACATCAATACAAGGCCTTCTCCAAAAGAAGGGCCTCATTTGTAATCGACTGCAAATATTAGTAGATTCATTCAAACTGGGCTAGGCCCCGTGGTTTTTTCCCCTATTCAAGGGTTTTCCACTTAAAAACTCTGGTGTCTCTTATGAATGTTTCACCCCCTCTCTTATCTGCTTGTGTGCTGGATTTTCGTAAAATTTTAAGACGTTAAATCATATATTTCTCTACCGCCGCGAATATTCCAGGACGCAACAATTCTCATTCATGAATTATGGCGCTAATTTCAGATCTTAAAATATCTAAAAATTTAGCCTACGAATTTCGGAAATTCTTTCAGATATTATTTGAATCCATTTTTAATATAATTATAATTGAGATAGGGAAGGAATTGAAGCAAAACAAATAATACAATTTATTCTTAGAACAAAATTTAAATGAGTTTAAATAAACCATATAGAATTATAATTGAAATTTTTTCAAAACTATTTTAGAGATTAGATATCATACAAATTTTGTTTTCTTATAGACAAAACGTGAAAAGGTTGGAGTTGCTCCAGTAGAAGATAAGATTAGAGAGAGTCGTCTTAGATGGTTTGGTCATATAAAACGGCAGCCTTTCGATGACCCGGTTAGGAGAACAGATGTATTAGATTTGACTTATGTTAAGAAAAGTAGGGGTAGACCTAAAAAGACTTGGTTAGAAAATATTAGAAATGACCTTTCTTTATTAGATTTAAACGAGAATTTGACTTTTAATAGAACACAATGAAGAAAAAGGATTCATGTAGCCGACCCACGTAGTGGGATAAAGACTTATTGTTGTTGTATAGACAAAATAAATGCCTAATGACACTAATCAACGATTGCTCAATTCTAAATTCATTAAGGTACTCAAATATCTAAACAAATATAACATTATCAAAGACGTTCTATTAGAGCCATCGATTTGAAATTCCAAATTTTTGGTAGAATGGCTAGAATTTTCTCTTTGAAAAAAAAAAAAATATATATATATATATACAAACACATGCCCAAAGCCAGACCAACCCAAAGTATATCAGAAGAAAAGGAACCAATCTCCAAAAAAAGGACAATCAATGACGAAGGCAAAGAAATCAACCAACTCGACTCAGTAATTATAAATATAAATATATTATATTTCTATCTATTCAAGGAGAGCTTTCGGTATGGAGGATTCTCTAATTTAAGAAATTCCTTATCTTTAATCATCACTTGGAAGTTCAACTGGTCATCTTTAGGATTCGCCTCTTACGACTTATTTTTAACTATTCTTGATCAACCAACTTTCCTTTCAACTATGGGTGTTAATGTAAGGATTTATATGAGACATTTTTTTTTCACTGTTATTTTAATATATATTTTAAACCGTAAGAAGGATGTTCCAAACGAAATCTCAATTGGGAACGTTTCGGATATTCAATTTTGCTGAGAGGAGATTAAAGTTCTAATTAAAAGTGTTTACTTTAATCTCATCTTAGAGGAATAATTTAGTATAGTCTCTAAGGATTTGGATTTTTTTTTTTGTTAAGAGTGAGTAATAGTTATGTATAATTTGCGCTTCATATGATGACTTAAGAAATGCAATGCACAATATTTGTTTATTTTATTTAATTAATAAATTTTGAACTTGAACTCAAAACTTAATTCAACAAATTCAAGCCAGTTCCCAAGCCTATTTAGTTATTATGAAAGAGGAAAAGTAATTATGATTCAAATAATTATTATAATAAAGTGCGGATACCTCATCTACAGAAAAAAGAAAAAAAAAAATTATTTTAATAAAATTACAAAATAATAGAAAACTAAATATAATTAATAAATAATCAATTGATCCAAGAAGTGATATAATTTCTAACTATTTTTTAATAATCTTATACTCCTAAATGCTAATATATTTTAAATATATTTTATATTAATATTTTTTAAACATATTAGCTCATGCGCTAACTATGTTGCACCGATACGGATACAGCTACACGGATACGACACGATACAGATACGGGACATGTCAATTCTTTAAAATACATGATACGGGTACGGCACGGACACGTCATTATAATTTATAAATCATACATAAAAATTAAGAAAACAATCAAAGCATAATATTTGAAATTACCAAAAAAATGACAACAACAACATTTGTAGCCTTGTATCTTATAATATTAAAATATAAATAAGCATTAAATGTCTAGCACAATAACAAAAGCATAAACATAAATTATGGAGCACATGAAGTTTCAACTATTCAATAGAAGTAATGATATAATTATCTTCTTCATTGATTTGTCATTGAACTTCTATAACATCTTCAATAATACCATAGCTTCTAATTCAGGCTCATCAAGTGAAAGATTAATATTTTTTTAATATTTTCATATAATCAAGAAACTCAAATCCATCTTGGAAATGAGAGAATCTTGCTCGCAACCGCGGAAGTAAATACGACACGTCTTTTTTTTTTCTGATTTCTTTTTGTTTTTCAATAGACACGTGTATCCACGCGTATTGGATACGCGTGTCCTTTTGAAATTAAATAGTGTTTTAATTGGATACGGCTTTGACGTATCCGACACGTATCGGTGGAGTATCGGAGGTGTATCCGTGTATCGGATACAGCACGCCTTCATAAATAGGTGCATCGGTGCAACATAGTGCGCTAATAAGTCAACTCGAGATTGGCTCAAACTTGACTAGTTAACTTATCCAGCTCAGCTTACGAGCTATTTATCAAGCCAAAATTGAGATTGACTCATGAGCTATTTATTGAGCTGTCTTGACTCACACCTCTAGTGAAACCTATCAGGATTTTGTTTATGAAAAATAGAGTATTATGCATTTAACATATATTGCTTCTAAATATTCTATCTTATGTTTGAATGCTCTGAAGCATTCATTAATTATTTTTTTTTTTAACCTACACCTAAAATTTAAATGTTTGACTTATTCCAGTTTGGTCAAATGAAATAAAATCAGAAAGCATAGAATAGATCTGCAAAAATCAGCAAAGATATTGAAATGCTCTGAGCATGAACCCTCCGCATTCAACAGCTATCCATAACTCGAAGATTTCCCTCACCTTCTAAAAATTCTTAGAAAAATGAAGTAAATCATGAGTTTTATCAGAAACATCATACAGATTATGCTGTTTGCAGCAGTCAACAACATCTGAGATGTATTTGGTAATGATATTCCATGTTAATATAGCTCTCTGAATCTTACCAACAGTTGAATTCAGGAATGCTTATATAAAATTTAATCATAATTTATTACCTGGAGAAAACTGGTGCTCCGAACAGGCGGATAGCATGAGAGGATTTGCAAAATGACCATGGGAAGGAAAACATACTGTTGCTTTCAGGAGGGCTGATTTCAGGAATTTAATCACCATTCTATAGAGTTCCACAAGGGAAACCTGTTGTTTAGAACGGTGGAGAACATGAGAGCATAAAAAAGAACAATGCAGAGAAAAACCTAGTGTAAACAACAAGAAATATGTGATTAAACAAAGCTTCAACATGCTGTTAATGGTGTATAGCATGAGTAAAGAGATCATTATAGCACATGGACTGAACTAAGACTTCATTTGGGATGGCTTTCTTCTTGTTTTTAAAAACAGCTTTCTAGTACAAAAAGTTTTTTAAATTTGAAATTTTTGTTCTAAAAAATTATTTTAAAAAGCAATACGAAAGATGTCCCAAACGAAGCCTAAATCTCTAGGTTTGATGTCTGCACTAAGTTGCAGCCACATAAATTGAAGGAATGAAAATGCAAAAAAAAAAAAAAAAGAAAAAAAAAAAAAAAAAAAAAAAAAAAAAACTACAAGCTCAACATTCTGTTACAGCTTCCACAGCGCTGGAGCTATTCTTTCCAGCATTCAATCAGAAGAATCATGCAAATAACCAGAGCTCACAAACATTGAGAACATAGAAACATGGAGACGACTATAATATTCACAAGTAACTAATATAAGATTACATCTAACACGCCATAAGAAAAAACCAACACCATTTTTCAAAGTTTCACATCATCTTCTATTTCTATACATAAGTGAAACCAATATCATCCACTAAGTCAACACTCTGGATAGAACAGTACAATTTCCTCTATGAGAACCAACATACGCATCCCTTAGATTTTATGGCAAGATGAACACAAATGATAGATAACTTGGAGCATAAAAAATATATCCTTCCAGCGAACACCTTAATTCTTACTTCAAAGGTATATCTGCACTCTATAAACTCTAATAAAGAGATGTTGCCGAAATTTCTTCAAGAATACCACCTGTAATGCTTTTTCTATAACCAGATGCAAAAAGAACAAGGGAATCTTTAGCTAGTAAAGTTAGGCACTCGTAGCATCATTATCACATAAGCTAAATATCAAGAACAAGGCAGCTGGCTAATTCTGCTACACCGAAATTCTTAGCAGCAATGACCTTCCAAACTTCAGCTTCTGCCTCAGAAGAACTGTGATTTTCAGCAGAGATGCTAGCTCCAGCAGAAGATTCATTTTTTTGCATGCACATTTGCTTTTTCAAATCAGCTTGCAATACTGCAGTCCCGTTATCAACATCTTTAGTGATTAAATGAAGCTTCCCAAAAAGGCCAGCAAGTAAATAAGGAGATTCTGCATCAGTAAAATCATGAACTGGAACCTTGCTAATAACAACTTTCCAGGCATCCTCCTGGTGATCATATATCTTTATCTTACCACTATCCAAGGAGCTAGAAGGTTCCAAAGCATATAACTCACCATTTACAACCACACTCAATTTTGTCCCTGCCTGCCTTGCAGGCCAACCTTCACCCATACCAGCAGGCATGTCCGCCCACGAATCAGTCTCTGGATCGTAGATCTCACCACCAACATCAACAAAAAAGGGCCAAGAGTACAAACTTTGAGGGACACACAACTTTCCTCTGTATGAAGTCATTCCAGTTGCAATGGGCTTCAGCAGTTCAGCTAGGAAAGCAGTAGGCAGAGTCTGAGCTTTCGAGAATGGCATGTTTTTAACTTCTGTCCAGAAACCAGTTTTAGGATCATAGACTTCAGCAGATTGCAAAGGAGTCAAACCCCCGCGGCCTTTACTGACTCCGCCGACAACATAAAGTTTGTTGTTCAGGAGACTGGCCTTACAGAAAGCCCTCCCAGTGGTCATGGAATTCACTTCCTGCCACATATTGACAACAGGATCATATCGCCAAACACATTTCATGGCAAATGCTCTGGAAAAACCACCTAACACATAGAGGCAACCATCGACGGTTCCGATGGCACAGCCACAAAATGGAAGACGTTCCAGGGTATCCCTCCGGCCAAGCCAGCCTCTGATAACATCAGCAATTCTAATGCTGGAGCCCATCACATTCCACATAAGAAATCCAGAAAGCCCCCTCTTAGATTTCTCCTCACATACAAGATTAGGCATGGGTGGCAGCTTCTGCCATTTTCCAGCTAAGGGGTCCAAAGCATGCCAACGGAGCTTATCATCTTCAACCTTTGTCAGAATATAGAGCCACTCTTCTGTTGTTCCGAGCTCCTTTCTAAGCTGATAGATTTCAGCACTAGTTATAGCAGCTTTCCAGCTTCGTGATACCAGCTTCATTCCCAAGTAATAAATCCTAGGTATTCTTGCAAGGATTTGCTGGGAAATTTCATCAGGTAAGCTTGAGATAAGCCTTGGATTATCATTGTTAAAACTTGCTGACAACTTCAGCCTCTTGCTAGAGACCTCAGCCTGAGAAACCTCACAACACAACTTTTCTTGAGATTTGTTAACTGGGAAGCTCAAAAAAGACCCCATCAAAATCCTTAATGACTTGAAAAATAAAATGATAGTTATGCGAACAATTCAAAACTTTTATTGCAATCTCCTCCTTCTCACAAGCAAGTACTTTTTACATCACATGGACCAGCAAAGATCTGAATCTGGCAAGAGGAAGCAGCGAAGGGAGAAGGGAAAGAACACATTCCAATCAATAGATTAGGCCTAAGAATTTTACAAAAAAATTAAAATGATAAAAACTAGATATCCCCAGGTACCCCTGCAGGCCACATAAAATATAATAAATGCAGTAAGAAAGTCGTACTAAATGAAGAACATTCAAGTAAACAATTAAAAACTTTCCACTATCTGTTAAAATAAACATCAATGGATCAATAAAAAGCTTTAAATTTCAAAAAACAGATCTCCTAACTTGAAATTTATAACATTCAGCCTCCAAAATAAGACACAACCAAAGAAAGAAGAAGAGAATCGTAAGCACCCGCCTTTATATCAAGCACATCCGCCATCAAATCACTTGGGATCTACAAAGAAAAGATCCAATTTTAACAAAATCCCAGGCAAACTCGATCCTGTTAAACATACCAAAGAACTGAAAACGATCCTTAAAGCAAGACATCGAAACGCAATTGATTATGAAAAAAGGCTATATTAATACCCGAAAACAAACCCCTAAGTGAAAACAAGATCCAAACCGATAGAAAAAATGAAGCCGGATCAAATTCCGCAATCTGAGGCCAAAAAATAAGAGACTGAAAGTGTAAAAGAAGATCAAAGGCGTTACCTTTAATGGAGAAGAAGCACGCCATGAAATCCAGATTCAGAATCCAGAATAATATTTTAGGGTTTCGTCGCTCACTCTCTTAAACTCAGCTCCAAGATGCTCCCTTTTTCTACACGACGCTCTCTTTATTTTGCAATTTTCGCTCACAATCAGAAAATGTAAAATTTTTTTTAATTAACTGTTGATAAGGCCGATGATGTTGGTGAAGGCAAGTTGACAACGACTTCATTGGCAACGACTGCGTTTGAAATTGGTAACTCGGCGTATGCTTCTCATGCCTTCGGTCCTTTCATTAGGTCTTCTAAACCCTAAATTATTATAAAAATTGCGACAACTAAATTAAAAATAATAATAAAAAAACTAAATTAAAAATATTTTTATAAATTTTAAAGTTTTTAAAAGATTACCATTCATTTCAAAAATTTAAATTTATATTCAGATTAATATAATTTTATGAAAAAAAATATAAAAAAAATATTCTAACAAATTTTTAATAAAAATAAATATTTAAAATTGCTATATCTATTTTAAATAAACATAATTCTATAAATTATACTAATTTTAATTTTAAAATATAAAATGAACAGAATATTCTGATAAATTCAATTACGATTTACTAGTAAGTTGTTCAAACTTGAGAGGAGCAAGCAATTCTTGAATTATGGTTCACAAAATACAATTTTGACGAGCAACTACAATTTCGTTTGGCACGATTTTCTTACTAGTTTTTAAAATAATTTTTAATAAAAAATTTAATTTTGTACTATAAAGTTACTTTAAGGGCATCTCCAACCGAACGGCAAACACTTTTGCTTTGCTCCAACCGATCGCCATTTTTGACGCCATTTGATCGCGGATGAACAGTGCGACGCCAATATTGGCGTCGCACTGTTCATGTCGGTCTGATAATTTAATTGGCCGAGTCAATCTCTTACGAGGAGTTTTTATGAAAGATGCTTCGAGCCTAACACAAATATCTAGCATAGGAGAAATTATTAGGAGCGGAGTCTGGACATAGAGATGCGTCCGACATGTGGATATTCAATTGGATTTATAATGTGTTCAGGAATTTTAAGCCAAGCGCAACAAAAATACAACCAAAGCGGAGGTAAAGTACATGTAAAGCGCACAAAAAGTTCAACAAAAGTGCACTCCACGTATCAAAATTTAAATGAAAGTTCGGACGCATCTCTATGTCCGGTCTCCGCACATAATAATTTCTCCTAGAATAGAGAGCAAGGTAACATCTTGGTTAAGAGTTTATTGGGGACAAATTTTTTGGTTCTTTTATTTTAAAATAATAATTATAATTTTATTTGACTATTATTTTTATTTAAAAATAAATAATATAATTATATTATCTTTTGGAATGTATTGAGCAAATCTCTCAATCATCATCTTATATATATAAACCAAAATCAAATATTATTAGATAAAAGTCCAATATATCACACGGCCAAAGCACCAAAATAGGCCAATGAAAATAAAAGTATAGTCATAGGATTACAATTCTCGAAAGGGCCGAAAATATGAAAACATGTAAGTCAGACGGACTCAGACCGCCACCTGGTTGCCAGGCATGGGCCATCCAAGGAGGAATAAAAGGAAGCATCCAAAATCGAAATCTAACAAAACTAAAACCTCCGCCAAGGTTACCCACCAAGCTAAGGCCATCTAAGACGCACGCAGGAAACCTGCTTCATCATTGTCCATACCTCAATTCTATGCCGCACTTAATGCAAATCCAAAATAACCAACAAAGCCAAAGCCAGACAAAGACCCAAAGGAAAAAAACATTTTTGTTTGCCTGACGATTTATAGAGTTATCATTCTTTTTAAGAAAGCCATCATATGCAATTAGAAGAGCACGCATAGCTAACAATTAGTCTCCTCCCCACCATCTGAATAAAAACCCTCATTAAGATCTAACAAATCGCATTGCTCAAAAGCACTACCACTTGCAAGTGAGCCAACATGCCAGTACTAGAAATAACAGTTAAAGGAACATCAACCAAATTTCCCCTAACACCATCAGCCTCCACCCCAATGCTCACATCATTGAAAAAACCCAGGCCCTCCGAAGAAGGATCACCCCCTAACCCATGACCCGCAAGAAAGTCATCCCCATAATCAATAGACAGAGGAATAACACCCTCATTAACGTCTCCAATCATATCATGAGTACCACTAGGACAAACTACCATATTAGTTAAGCAATTGTAAGGTTCATCAACCTCACCAACATTAGGATCAAGCGCCACATTTTCATCACCCTTCAAAGGAGAAACCAAAACCAACACAATATTAGAATCCAACTTCAGCGCTAAATCATTGGCCTCAACAGACACAACAACATCCAAGTCCATAACTAATTCATTCACACCAGAGTCCTCACAAACAAGGCCAACAGAGGCCACAACCACTGGATCAAACGAAACATCTGCAAGGCCAGGAAGCACACAAACGACTTCCCCACTCTCACGTAACACACTATTAAATTTAATAGTAGACTGAGGCATATTAAAAGAAGAGCCAAGGTGAGGATGCAAAATCTGAAAATTAACCTTCGAATGACCCAAAGAATAGTAATGCGTACAATAAGCAGGAAAATATTGCAAAATCACAAACTGCATGTAACCTATGTTATCTGGGCCAATCCAAATTTTATCAAGGAAATTGTTTGGTCACATCCAGTTCAATCAAAACGCGAGCAACGGATGGACGCGAACCAGAAGAGGTCACGTTATCGATTTACAAAAAATGGAGCCAAGGCCATGAAGAATGGACTGAGCAAAAAGGTGAGGCCGAATATTAGAAAAATAGATTCAAATAGGGACGACAGACAATTCAACCTCAATGTCCAAGGAAGGAGTACATTTAACCAATTTCATATAGCAATTACTCACGAAATAAGACCGATGAGCAAAAACCCTTCAGTAATACATGTCGTAGAAGAGTTTAATCAAAACATTCTTGGTTCAGAACATTAACATAACAATCACCTTTAAGTTTGAGGTTGAAAAAGAAATTCCTAATAGCATCAAGAGATGCCCTCCGACCATAGAATTTACCAACAAGAACGAATTCAAAAGGAACAACAAGAGAAAGGATTTCTGCTTCAGAAAATCACAAGGCCGGCATACCCCGGTGGGAAAAAACTTTAAGGTCTGGAAAAGAGACAGAAGAAGGAGACGCAACAGATAAGGCATCTTTAAAAGAAAGAGAGGAAAATCTATTTAAAAAACTAGGATATCTACATCAGGGAGGTGCCAAAAATATGAACAGACAACAAACAACAAAGAAATCGAAAAAAAAAAACACAAGTGAAGAAGGAACTTCCCTTAAGCACGCGAGATGCACATCCATGCGAAAGTGAGGACGGAACAAAATAACACATCCAGGTTGAGAAAGAGCTGCAAGAGGCGGCTAGGGATAAACCCTAGCACGCCCTAGAGGAAACCGGAGATATAATACATATTATTCTCTCTAAGGTTTCAAGATTTAAAGTGAAACAATTATATTTTTTTATCTTTTAATAATAACAGTCAAAGCTATCCTTTTTTTTTTTTCAATAATAAAATATCGAAAAAAAATAAATATATCGATCAAAACATCAAGATACATATGAGTTCATTACCCAAATATCATCTACATTAGGTAAGAGTTATATAAATACTAATATACAACACACTGTATGTCCACTCTTGAGCTCAAAAGAATAATTAAAATATAAAATGAAAGTAAAATTTGAAGAATCATATGTCTAATCAGCCTCATAGTCTCAAACCTCTTCCCTAACTTGAAAATATTAAATCACATATATTGAGTTTATAAAACCCAGCAGGCCACTTAAATTTTACAACTGAACTCAGAGCATAGAAAAACAATAATACGCATAAAAATCATTCAATTTATAAAAAAATCAATCAATATGATTATGATTATGCACTGGTGCAAAAAAAGTAAAACTATGTGTGCCAATTAATGACATAAACCAATAAGTTTTAATTGATAAGTTTAATATCTTCAACCTAATTACATTTAGATTAAGGAATTCTATACTCTTATGTATTAGGAGTGATTAGAAGATTAATGAAAATTGTGAGATATTGGTTTAATTATATTTTTTTAAGATCAATAAATCATTCAGATTAAGGATGTTTGCGCCACATTATTATTGATGTACTTTTCTATAGTAATGTCAAGTTTCATATCTAAAATTTTAATTAGATACATGGATTGATTATACCGTACATTGAGCTACCGCACATTGAGTTGTCGTACATTGAGAAGGAAGTATTTGACTTGGTTTCTAATGCATTCATAATGCAATATTACCAAATAATATAAAATAGAATGCATAGCCTATAACTATTCTTCAACTCATTAATTATAATGAAATACAATAGTTGGATTTGAATTTTGTCTTATATTTTAAAAAAAAATTATTTAACTTTTCATATAATGTGTTTGTACACCCTCAAAAGTAAAGCTGATTCCGCCCCTGATGGTGATTGCTAGTGGCAGTTACCGATGACGAAAGTTTGAAAATATGAGAGTTCTATAGTTCTCACCCTTTTTCTCTTTCCTCATGTAAAAAAAAGGCGTTATTTATAGGTTTTTTGATATAGACATTTTGATAATTTGAACCAGAATTTAAAACACTTCATCGTACATTCTATATCAATTCAATTGATCATGAAACACTCATTTAGCATTTTAAGTGACTTCATCAAGTTGGAATTGAGTTATTTTAGGCTCGTTTGATTCATCTCGTCGAGCCACTCATTTCAACTATAAGCATGTTGAATTTGGAGATCATTTGGTCAACAAATTAATGTTAGAAGTTTTTAATCATACTTCAAATACTTGATTTGATCTTATTATGTTCAGATTGGATCATTTTTGGTATTGTTGCGGGTTAGAGTATTCGCGGCGGTAAAGTACGATAAACTTCATGTCTTAGTGTTGCACGATTATCCAACACACAAACAAAGGAAAAAGATATGCCATAATTTTTATGTGAAAAATCTTGAAAGAAAAACCATGGGTCACGCCTAGTTGAAATGATTTCACCAGTGTTTCAATTAATTACAAGTGATTAGTTCGTTCTTAAAATTGAGGACGATCAGATTACACAAGTTAATGTCATGTTGAAATCTATGACAAACAGAGATTAGATAGAAATCCGATGATGTTTGATGCTCGGGCGAAAATCCTATGTCAATTGGCGGTCAGGCGAAAGTGTGGCATCGATCCAACGACAAACAAAAGTCTGGTGATGGGTGGAAGTTCGGCGCCAGGCAGAAGTCTGATGGTAGTCCGACGACTGGTAGTGGTCCGGTGAAAGTTCGGTGGTGGATGGTGGTCCAGAGAAAATCCAGTAATGGATAGAAATTTTATGATGGGCGAAAGTAGGACTACGGGCGGAAGTCTAGCGTCGGGCAAAAGTTTGACAGAAGTCAGGCGACTGACGATGGCTTGGAAAAAGTCCGGCAGTGAATGGTAGTCTGACGAAAGTCCGACAATTGGCAGAAATCCAGTGATAAGTGGAAGTATGGTGACGGGTGGAAGTTCGATGATGGACAGAAGTCCGACTTCAGGAAGAAGTCCGATGGAAGTCTGACAACGGGAGGTGGTCCGACGGAAGTTCGACAATAGTCGGTGGTCCAACGGAAATCCGGGAGTGGTCAAGGAGGAGCTTAGTAGCAAGAGAGATCTCAGATTTCTCTTTCTTCTTCCTCTCATTCTCCCTTCCTTTTTCCTACTTTATTTGTGAAAAATAGAGGGTTTATTTATAATTTTTGGAGAGTGACATGACAAGTAAATAATGAGAATATCAAGGGTAGGTTGTGAGTGTTTCAGATGAATGGCTGATATTGATTCCCTTGATCATGAACCATTTATCGAGTATTTTAGTATCTTAATGATGTTAGAATTCAACAATCTTTGACTCGTTGGATTTGTCTTGTCGAGCCTCTTGATTCGATTGTAAGCATGTCACATTTGAAACTTATATGATCATCCGAATTATGCTTTGAAATTTTTAAACGCGCTTCTAACCCTCAATTTGGACCTGTTTGGGATCAGATTGGATCGAATTTGGCGTCGTTGAGTTAGTATATTCGAGGTGTTCAATTCGAATATAAGTGCCGAAATTGGAGTTCAGATGGTCCCAAAATTAATTTTAGAATGTTCCAATTCAAAATTGTTGTGAGATTCGTGTCCGATCAAGATTTTTTTTAATGATATATCAAGTATCATCGTGTTCTTTTTAACGAGACGTTCAATCCGACTATTAGTTTACATAAATTATAGTTCAAATTATTTTAAATTTAATTAAAAAATAATTTAAAATTTAACTCAAAATTGTGCCAATCATATCAATTTTTTCTTAAGATATATCAAATCCTCCTTTTTTTTGGTGGATTTGCTCTCCCTTTGCTGCAACAAGTTTGTGCGACCCAGACCATGGCTGCTAAAATGAGCCGTCGTTATTCGACGACAGCTTCTCTGCGGCGCCTATTCCCTTCCGCATCTTACCGTCAAATCCCCTTCTCCTCCTCCGCCGAATCCCGCACCCAGAAGCTGGAGGGCATCGCCGACGAGCTCCTCAACCTCAACAAAATTGAGCGGCACGACTACAGCATCCTCTACCGTCTCAAGCTCGGCCTCGACCGATGGGGTTCCGGCGCTGGAATCGTTGCCCCAGGTCTATCGGCGGCAGGTGCAGCTGCCGATGGAAGCGCGGCCGCAGTGGCTGAGGCGAAGGAGAAGACAGCGTTCGATGTGAAGCTTGAGAAGTTTGATGCGGCGGCCAAAATCAAGGTGATCAAGGAGGTGAGGACGTTCACGGATCTAGGGTTGAAGGAAGCGAAGGAGATAGTGGAGAAGGCACCGGTGGTTCTCAAGAAGGGGGTCACGAAGGAGGAGGCCGAGCAGATTGTCGCCAAGCTTAAGGAGGCTGGCGCCACCGCGATTTTGGAGTGAATGCTGGAGAAGAAGGTTAAATCTTCTTGTATTGTTCTTTTTTTTCGGTTCTTTTTGTCTTGGTGTTTGGTTGCAGTAATTTATTGAGACGGTGGAAATTTTTAAAATTTATGGAATCTTCAATTCTGAAATTGAGGATAGTGAAACGTAGTGTAGCTATATGAAATGAGAATCAATGTGGCATTTGAGAAGAAAGCATTGGGATTTTGTACAATAATGGTTAGCTGGGGCCTGAACGTTATGCAGATTTACCAAGTTTTTTGAGCAACATGTTTTGACTTGCAAATGCTATTTTCCACACTTTCTGATGATATGCAACAAAGTAAAAAATAAATAAATAAATAAATAGAAGAGAAGAAAAATCCCTTGATCATCAATCAGCTATGCTAATCTTTTTCCTCCTCCCTTATCATTACAGTCTCATATATGAACTTGCAATCATAAGGCCATCTCCAACCGAAAATCTCATTTTCCACTCTAAAATACAGTAAAACTTCAAAATGCGGTAGTTCATCTCCAACGGAACTCCATTTTTTTTCGCACGCTTCGTTGCGAAGGCAACCATCTCTCTCTTGTTTTGCGTGCTTCTTGCGAAGCTAAGCAGAGTGCGAAGGTAATCACTTTTTTTGGCTTAGGTAAACAGTCTGACGTCAATATTGTGTCGCACTGTTTAGCTACCGATTTTTTGCATGAGATTTGGAGTTCGAATGCAGCGATTTACGGACGGCATATAATGGTATAAAGTTCGGTTGGAGATGATCTAAAAAATTTGTCTGGTTAGTGATTATAATTTTTCTTTCTTTTAAGTCTTTATTTACCATGCATTTTCAATTTTTTGCAATTATGATGTAACGCTTCTCACAAATAATCATGAAAGGCAAACTTTTTCTATTTAACTTCACCATATTTCAGCTCCAACAGAGTTCCAATGCATGACTGGACTCACCTAAATTCCAGCATATGCTTGCCACTTATCCACAGGTTTGCACTTATTAACTTCCACATAAGTTTGAGCAGAATTAGCAAAGTTGAACTCTTACAAGTTTTAAGACAATTATGATTGTCAGCAGCTTAGAACCTAGAATCCATTTATCTTGAAGCTCTATTATGCCTGGATGAGAAACTCCTTACATGAAATTTTTACTTGTTTATTTATAAATTCCAAGGTTTTCTTTAGAGTAAGAATAATTATCAATTAGGTGAAGAGCTTTCCAAGCTACTCCAGAAACCCACAACGCTAAAGCAGCAAGTAGATTTACTCTTTCATTTATTTTTACTATCTTCAGTTTGATCAAATTAGTTCAATTAAAGGTCTCAAAAATGCATATGTATCTCTTTGATTTTTACATGCCTTAGGGTGGCAAATTTATCTATTTTGATTGAATGAAAATTCTCTCCCCTCACACTGAACATCTTTGTCATTGTTATTCAAAAATATTTATGTTATGTATTTCTCCCCATCTCTATGAAATTGTTGTGTTGGTCATATGACCCATAAGTATTCCCTCGCTACAACATTGGGGTGAAACCTTGAGTAATCGGTCTTGCAACCTTGCCTATTGAAATCACCAGCAGCTCGATCATGATTTTAGTATGACTAGTTGAGACATGCTAGTGTTCTCAAGAATGATCTCATGATTGCGATTAAAATCAATAAGGCTTAGGCTTCGTTTGGGACGGTTTTGTTATTGTTTCTTGAAGTTGTTTTTTAGTACAAAAATTAAAAAATTTGTACTAGAAAGTTGCATTAAGAAACAGTAAAAAAAGTCATAGGCTTCATTTGGAACGTCTTTTTTATTGCTTCTAAAAACGGAGTTTTAGCACAAAAAATTTAATTGTTATACTAAAACTTCATTTTAAGAGCAATAAAAATGTTGTCCCAAATGAAGACTTACGCTTCGTTTGGGACGACTTTCTTATTGCTTCTTAAAGCAGCTTCTTAGTACAAAAATTAATATTTTTGTACTAAGAAGCTGCTTTAAGAAGCAATAAGAAAGTCGTCCCAAACAAAGCGTAAGTCTTACTCTGTGGTTTGACTTCTAGTATAACCATCACGATCATGCAGGTTGAAGCCAATTTGTTGAGAGGGGTGTATTTGAGTTTGAGAAAGGCTAAAAGTGTTTTCATTTACACTCCATTTGCAATTTTTGATTTGTGGATTGGATGCTTTTCTCTCTCTCTCTCTCTCTCTCTCTCTCTCTCTCTCTCTCGTGGATATAAATTTAAGTCAAAGTTATGAAAATTTTTATGTCTCTCTGGTGATTTAATTTTTATGCATTTTTTATGATTCATTATATTTCACCCTTGAAGATGCTTCCACATTATTTTAGGCATTTTTATTCTTAAATGGAAATAGACTTGTGCAATTTTAATATATATAATGAAGGATAAAAAAAAATGCACTCCTATGATGGATAAAATTGTTGCTAAAGGACATGAAAGAAAATGGGTGTACCGAAAGATTATGAAGATAAAGTTGAGCAATAATACTCGACTGAAGGAAAATTAGTTATACCTTTACAATATCTATGGAAGAAATTTATTAATTTCTTCCTTGTTATGGAAACCAATGAGCTTCATTTATGTTTATAAAAAATCTGCACATACATCATATACGTAAGACTCAAATTTAAAATCTTTTGATTGATAATGAAAGCTTCCAATCAACAGACTAATATGAACTACTTTGAACAACCCAATATTATTTAGCCAAAATTGCAACAATTTAAGCTTCCAATTGTGAAACTCCTTTTCACTCGACTGAAGGAAAATTAGTTTTTAGACTAAAATTGGTTTGTTAGGACAAAATAGAATATTTCTAAGTAAACAAATGTTAATTTTTTTTATAAAAGTTTTATGATTAAGATTCAGTTGTGAAAGCATCAATTAGCTCAGCATTCCTAAGGGTAAGTAAATGGTTCATTGTATGTACAACTAACATAATTTGACCTAGTTGAGCTGTGGCAATTGATTTTGAATAGACCTTTGTAAACTTTTTCTTGCAAGGCACCTTTCTTTTGCTTTCCACTCACACATGTCTTTGTTAATGGTTTATGATTGAATGTCATATGGTCTACATAAATTTTTGTTATTGCAAAATTTGACCCAACTCACATCCGACCCGAAAAATTCTGATAACCCGTTCAAGTAGGATCTAGGTTGGAATTTATACCCGTTTGCAAAATCAGGCTGAGTTGAAGTTGACTTATTTGGACTCGGAACATATCGGGTTGGGCCCGAACCCGACCCATTTTAACACCCCTTCATATCATTAGGAACATTTTTGGATAACAATATCTAACTCAAAATTTTAAGTTTAATTAGAATGTTTTATAGTTATTAAATTTATTTTGTGATTATTGTAATATAAATTTTGATTATTTAATCACACATTCCTCACAACTCAAAGCAAGTTGAAAAAGTGAAATTATCATGCCAATCAAACACATGAAATTAAAACTCAATTTGGGACGGTTTTTTTATTGCTTTGTGAAACTATTTTTTAGCATAAAAATTTATTGAAATCAGCAAAAAAAATAGTGATCTAAAATTGTCCCAAATAAAGCCTAACTGTGTTCAATATATGCATTATTAATATGAATAGTTTGTGCACAATAATACAAAGCAATGCATAAAGAACACCTAATAATATCCAGCTTTTTGCATGATAAGCTACCTCACATAATAACATCGCATGTGACCATGACCAGGTTAATAAGAAGAGAAAACTGATGAGTAATAAGCTGAGAAGAAAAGCTAGCTTTAAGGATTACTAAGTACTTCAGGCCAGAACAAATAAGCAATTAGTTAATTTTATAATCCTTGAAAATTTACCCAAAGATCAAAGTTAGCTTTTACTTAAGCTGAAATTTGTATAAATTTAAGAGAAATCTGCAAAACTTGTCAAATAAATAACTAAATTAAACCATCCTTTTAGCTAGCAGAGGACCATATCTCTCTACTTCACGGCCAACGTAGTAGGCGTGTTTAGATCTAGCATAGTTGGAGCGCTACCCTCGGATTGTTCCTGTTCTTCTTCAATTTCTTCTCCCTTTTCTTCGCTATCTTCAGAATCTTCTAAAATCAAGTGGTTTAAGTTCTCTTCTAGAGGTGGAAGCCCGTCATCAGTATCAGAACCAGATCCCGTGTTTGTATTGATAGCTTTCTCATCAGCCCCTCCTGTTCCATGCAAGTTATACAAAAAAGAATTTTGGTCAATCAGCTTAAATATGAAGGTATTATAGTTATTAACTCCACCTGTACTTGACTTGTGGGGTTTTGAGTTATTTAAGAGCCAGGTATTCTGAACTGATATAATCTCGGGACCGTTCTCACATTTGGAATATGCCTTTAGCAGCTCTCTGTAGATTGAATGAACAATGTAAAGCTCAAGCTACATAACTGGGGATGACTTTAGGAATTAGTCAAATGTTTCATCATAACTTCTGCTAACAAGGATAACACATTAACAGGTGAAAAAAAGCTTTGAATAGAGGTTCATAGGACTTTCAATGAGAGATGCTTATTCACGATTACCCGAACGTCGTTCGGAGACCAACTAGAATGCGCTACGTCACCCATTTGCTTAGTACCACGGCTCGGTACTGCTAACGTGACGCATTTTAGTTGGTCTCCGGAAGGCGATCTACGTCCAGCCTCCGCACAAAATAATTTCTCCTTATTCACAACTTCTCTGCTGCAGACAAACCGTCAGTGGAAGCTATGCTCTGATCCTAGCGTCCTTGGATTTCAAAGCAGACCCAATAATAATTAACCACAACATTGATAGAAATTTCATATAAATGCCGGTGGGGGATATTCTTTCCTAGAACACATCTATTCTTTGATTGGAACATCCTTTACCAAAAGAATACTTTTCTCAGAGGCTGGAGAAGATATCTTCAGCATGCAAATGGAGAGCTCTCACGGAGATTTCTTCCAGATATTGGAGAAGAAGGGAGATGCTGGCAATACATAGATAACTTAAAAATCACTAATGCATTCTGATCAAGGGCCTCAGGGTTTAGGACTAGCCATGTATTCATTTTCTTCATGGAGGTCTCCTCAGACATCTAACAGTTATAATGTAGATTCTAAATACTAACTTATTCATAGAAGTCAACGAGGAGTCAGCCAACGATATATGATCAGTTTACCAGAGGATGCAAACGAATATCCATTTTGTCAGTATCAAAGTAAATGGGAAAATTTATACAATCAAACCAAATCCATTTTTTGAAAGCGCATGCCTGTTTAGAGATAGGAATGAATGGCCCCATTTGAATTTGCCTAGAATCAAATTTGCTGTCTCTTCTTCGCCACTGTCAGGAAATCAACAACTGTATCAGTTAGGAGAAATGCAGCGTTGCTTAACTCGACTCTAAAAAATTCTTGATGCTTTGTCTGTAAGATTTCGTTTGGAATGGCTTCCTTACTGCTTCTTGATGCAAATTTCTATTTCAAAATTTTTACTAAAAAGCTGCTTTAAGAAACAGTAAGAAAGCCGTTCCAAACGAAGTCTAAGAGAGAGAAAAGGAGAGAGAAAGCTCCATATGATTGTGTATTACACCCAATATCTTAATGACACCTTAATTGCCAACACATCAACACGTTTTTTTGGTTGTGGGCGGAGCTTTGTAGCATTACTCATAAGTTAGGAAGAATACAAATCAATGTTTCTCGAGTGATAATAACATGTGCTTTTAGTCCCAAATCAATCCGTGTTTCCCAGGTGCATATATGTTTTAATGGATGTAAAACTCGTTGGTCATAGGAACTTTTGAGTTGTATGTGAAATTTGACCTCATGAACAAAAAAAAAAAAAATCAATTACAAAAATGAAACTTGATTCTAAAAGGGGTAATATAAAAAGAGCATAAGATGATTCTAAGAAATAGTATTAGCCCAATAATGAATTAACCGAAAAATTTTAAATTTTGATTATCATCTTGCGGACAACCAGTTTCAGATATAAGGTCAACAATTACATTCTAAAGTTTCCTTGCATCTTTCAATGAAAGGAATATCACAAGTTCCACAGGCACTTTATGCCAAACAACCAAAAGAAACATTTTCACTCATTTCAAGCACCTTTTGAAACCAAGGTCAGTAAGGAGTGCATGATACCAGAGCACGGATACCGTCTTGTTTGACAAATAGCGCAGCAATAAATTCTTTATACGGACATTTTCTTGTATTGATATCTAGAATAAATATATCAAGCCATCACTTTCTCCAAGCGAATGGCTTCAAATTAAATTTTCCAAAACTTGCATAGCAATGACGGCAACTAATTTTGCTAAAAATTAAAAAAAAAAATCATCCAACACAGAAATATATCAGCACACAGGACATGAATGAGCTGTTTTGTGATTAAAAAAAGTCAATATGATCTACTCGAGAAATACAAGGGAATATGGACGGTACCAAATTATCAAGGCTGCTGCAAGAGCTTCCACACAGGATAACTCACAGGGGCGGCCATAATTTATAGGGTTTGCTGCAACTAACCATGGCACTGCAATGCAGAGGAATTAATAATTACTAATTGTGCTATGCTAGGAAATAACAGATATAATGAACCTAGCTTCCCCATAACACTAATATGAGATTATAACAAATATGGAAATTAAACAATAATATGCAACTGGCTGTGGAATTCCATATCATAATTTGTCGTATGTAAACCTTGCGACCACAGGCACTATAAGAAAACAATGAGATCAAACATGATAGAAAACTAGCATTCCATAGAAGTTTAACAAACCAATTATTTGTTGCACATAACGCCTATAGAAAGAAGCCACTGCTGTTCCTTGGTAGCATAGCTGGATCCTGAAGTTAGCTTATTAATATCCATTCTTTCTGATTTTTTAAATTTATTCTTGTTAGCATTACGAAAAAACTAACAGGTGGGTCTTTCAATTGAAAATAGTATAAAATCAATCAAATTAAAGAACGGTAACTTAATAGGTTATTTTTCAAATGAACTGATAGAACAGGTCCAAGCAGTATTAATAAAAATCATAAAAAAAGTAGGTACATCTATTATGAGATAAATGTTTCTATATACCTATATTGTTGATGTGTGCTTGCATCACAAATAAATTATTATGTTAAATACATTATTATGGTCAAGCGAAAGCCTGGCCCAATCAATTTAGCTTACACAATGATTATATCTATGCTAAAATAATTATCATTGGTTCATGTCAGCTCAAGCTCAAGTTAGCGACTCGATATATGCTCGGCTCGCAAGCTTGTTATCGAGTCAAGCTTGAGCCGGCTCAGCTCACTTACACCCTAGTGATGTGTGATAAAAGCCCTCTTTTAGGGCCTATTTGGTAGGCTGCATCTTCCCGTTGCCTTCCATTTTCCTGCATCACAATTTTTTTGGTGTTTGGTTTAAAGAAAAAAAAGTAGGGAAAATTTATCAGGGATTTGAAATACCCAACAATCTATTTTTTCCTAAATTTAAAATTTGTATAAATCGGATGATTTTTAAATCCAGCATTGGCACCACTCACAATTCCTGGCGGTTGTTGGCACCCACTCATGTCAGACGAGCCCACCCTATTCCGCTTTTCAAAGAATTTGAAACATATTTCGAAAACTTTCCATGCATTCTTTTGTATACACCCAAATTACTTTTGCATTTCTAAAATACATGCATTCTAGTTAATTTGATATCTAAAATTCATGTATTTAAAAATTATTCAACCAAACAATCCTGTAAGGAGATGATTTGTCTTCGAGATCGCCCTAGAGAGCGTAACTTAAGTATTGAGGTCAATATAATGTCATAGTCAAGTGGAAGAATGATAATAGAATGAAAAATAAGCTCAATAATAATAATCATCATGAAGATCATCAACCAAACCAGCATAATTCATTTTGAGGTAGTATTTAATTTTGTGATGCAAGAAATGATTGAGAGTTCTTTATTTGTTGTTGGAGACAAGAAGCAGGTGGATGGTTGTTGCAAGTTGGAGTGGAAAAACTGCTAGGAGAGTGTACGAAGGGCTTTATACTGTTGGGATAAGGATTTGAGAAGTTTTAGGATAGAAAGATAAGGTGAAAAGGTTTTGGAAAAAATTGCAAGAAATCTTAACAACAATCATTCTTAGTGGGGGCTGCATTTGGACATGAAATATTTTGGAAAGGAATATATGCAGAATCTTATAAGTAAATTATAATTTAAGACGTCCCAAGATTGGAGGGGAGCAAACCTGGCCAGTGGGGAATTGAGGGGTCCGTTGGAGTGTAAGGAGTGCTAATTGCCTAATTGGTAGTTTTGTGGGGTTGGTTCTAAAAACCGAAAACTTAGGAACAAATTTTCAGCAAGTAAATTTTAGAGTTTTCAACAGAGAAAAGTCATATTTTCAATAGGGAAATGGGATTTTGTAGGGATTGTATAGGTTCTGAAAGTGCTCATGAGCTTAAGTAATCCCTTCCTTCAATTCTCTTTGAGAGCTTGAGGATAGATACAAAGCAACATGGAGTTTTAAAGACAGATTGGGATATGTTTCCTAAAGATTTTCCACAGCATAATTGATGAGGATAGACAGGGTATTTTTGAGATGTGGGGTACGATATTTCTTGTGGGCGCAAGTCCTATAGTTAATTACATCATAAACATGAGCCAAAAATACTCCCAATTAAGAACTGAATATGCTCTAAATTGGTAGTTGGAAGTTAGGTTTATAATAGGGGAAATGGGTGGGCATCAAAATCTCATAGTTCCTTCATCATGTGTCGGTCTGACAGACCCAATCTAACAATGATGAAATGTCTAGAGGCCACGTCATCTAGAAAATCTGATTAGTGACAATAGTCCGCCTTCTTTCAGGTTTTGGCATAGCAAAAGGCTGTATCACTTCAAAGTGTTATTCAAATTTTGTATGAATAGAAACGCTTGTCTAAGGGTGTACCAGTTCTAATTACAAATGCATATGTGCACCACAAGAAGTAGTTCATCCATAATTTACAAGTTTGGGACATAAAATTACAAAATAGAAGAAAAGACCATTCAGCAGACATGTTGTAATTCCAAACACTTTGCAAGCTGGTAATGCATAGCTTAAAACGGATGCTTAATTTTTGAACTCTACATGCAACAAAATATGATCTTTTTTTAGAAACGTTTGCTGAATTAACAAGGAAGATATAAATAAAAAAAACAATTTTAAGAATCTTACAAAGACGTGGTGCAGGACAACGAAGTTTCACAAAAGGAACATCTTTCAGTCGTACCCATGAGCAGTCCACCACTGCCAATCCTTGTCTCTTAACCAACGGGTGGTCTTCTTTTGAAACACACTGCGTCCCTACAGGGCTGCAGAAGAAAAAAAAAAACCCAAAAAAAATCAACGCGAGTTTGTTTGTTTTTTATTTTTAGGGAGATTTACATACATACCACCGTATACTACTCTATTTACATATTTAACACTTAAAACTTTAATATTACATATACCACCCATAGTTCATTTTCATATCAAATATGAGTGGTATAAATGAAATATATGAGTGGTAGGAAAGAAATATGAGTGTTATATTTGATATTAAAATAATATAGGGTGGTATGCATGTAATATTAATGTTTTGGGTGTTAGACATGTAAATAGGATGTTATAAAGTGGTATGTATATAAATTTCCCTTATTTTTATTACAAACAATAAGAATTATATTATGAGAAAAGATATCACCATTATTTAAAACCTGTACAGGTCAAATCTCTATTATAACAAACAAAAGATTTTTTTATTAATAGTTCTTAAAAACAGACTTATGACTTCCGTCACAGTTCTGTGAAAAGCGCAATATTCTAGTGCTACAGTAATATACACTAGAAACAGTGAGATGGAGCTTTGAAAGTGTTTAATACCTCAATACAATGCCACGAAATGCATTATTCACCCGCAAATCCTGTAAAGTTTTCTAGACAAGTGTCAATCATTAAGCTCATATTTGAAACAAATAATCTTACTTGCTATTTTATGTAATTTGTTCAAAAAACATAAACTTTCCCTGATATGTTGTGACTTTAGACTGCAAACACGACTCATCGGTTTTAGGACACCTTAATATTAAAATAACACATATATCCCATGCTGGGTTTCACAGAAGACACTCGTTGATATAACATTTCAAATTATCAGACTTGTGATCTTTTCCCTGGCCTTAACAATAAGCATGAAGAGTGGGGATTGCTTCTAGATTGAAATCTTGGTTAGGTTGCGGGATATTAAGAAATAGAGTAAGACAAGTGATTTGACAAAGAAAATGGGCGATTGAAGTACGTTTCATATTATTTCAATGTTAAGCCAAAGTGCATCCACTTTGCTCAGGTCTTTTTACTTGGCTCACTAGTTTTTTTTTTTTAGATCGTTTAGATTGTAACGATTACTTGGCTCACTAGTTGAACCCAAACTAACACTAAAAACTAGCTCAGAAATCTACAACTGTATTGTTCCAACCAACTTCATGTCAGGCTATTTCCTCCCACAAAATTTAAAAAGTAAAAACTATTGCTTATATGGATTGATTTCCTTTGTTTCACTTCCTACGCACACCATGCACAAAGTCTGAATGTGGACCTCCGAATCTCATATTTATACATAACCTTCATCGGAGAAAGAATTTTAGCATGCATAAGCAAATAAAGAGACCAACTTTAGTGCTTGCTTCTACTGAGTTGCTCGGGATATAAGCTGCATCTTACAGCTATGTTGATTATGCAAATAATTCTGTTGAAATGATTAATTTATGACTCTAATAAGGAAAAATGCAAAATATCAGGGAAAAATATAAAAAGTTTTGAAATAAGACACTGCGCCAAAGTACAAAAAATTGCACTCTATCAAGGACCGAATACTATCCTTCAAGAGGCCAAATCTGGCCAGCTTCCGCCCTGTGCATTTTCTTATGTCACAATGGCCAAAATCCTGAAATATAAAAAATAATCCAGATATAAGTAAACATGCCATATATACAAAAGGCATTGTTTTGCATAACGCTTACCCACATGGCAAGCTGAATTTTTGGAGCCGGCGTCTCATCATTATTGTCCTCTGAGAAGGGGGGGAAAGGCCACGCATATTATAAAGCTAACAACTTGTAAATAAAAGAACAATTAGAACACTACGCTTGTGATAATATTCTTAAAATGCATAGAAATGTCTCTAACATTTAACACCATCACCATCCTGTACAAGTTGTCTGCTTATTTTTTATTTGTCATTCAATCCTTGGGTGCTGTCTTTGCTATTGATTAGAATAGCCAAAGGTTTTCCAAGAAAACTTAAAGCTAAACTAGGTTGCCACTTCTCACCAACCTTTACAGCTCAGTAGTCAATTACCTAAATTTATAATGCTTCTTTCAATCAGCATTTACTTGCCCATATAATCTTGCTCCTGTCGGAAGATCTTACAGGAACACCTTCTACATCACGCTTGTTTATAACCTAAATCCACTTACATACCAATGTCTAATTTGTTTCTTAATCTTCCATATTGCACAACGCTTTTGGCACATATAAGATAAAAAATAAAGACTGCTCTGCCATTTTGTAAAATCTTCCTTTAGAATGTGAAACGTATACATGACCAAAGAAAACAGTTATGAATTGTTGCACCCTCTAACATTATAAGATTATTTCTATTTAAAAAGATATTGTTTTTCCTAATGATGTAATAGGGTAATGCATGGCCTTGTGCAATTCTGGACATTTGGGTACACAGTTGCTATGAACTGTGTCTACTCGTGAGAATATGATACAGTAAGTTTATAGGCCTTGAAACCCAAGCTAGAAAAAATATGGCAGACTGCATATATAGGAGCCAAAAACATCCATTGCCACTGTGTTAAGCTTCTTGTTGAATCAAGAAGCGGTGTGGACAACTTAAAAGTAGGTGCTAGCACCTAGAAGAGAAATGGATAAGAGAAGAAAACATATTTCCATTTCTTAACTCAATTCTTACAGCAGGATCTTGTATTTAAAGACTTCCGGTTCACCAAGGTTGGGCAACATGTTAAAACGTTCAGGCTTACTTACTAAACTAAGTAAATACAGAAAAAGATTTACAAACGAAGACTAATTCCTGCTGTTTACATCTTGTGGCGGCTGCAACTGATTAAATATGATTCAGTTGGCTTGGTTCGTGGCTGGTGCTGATGCTAGGGACATCATTGGTCTGCTGGTGAGGCCGGTGGCTTGCGTTGGAAGCTTTTCCTCTTTGCCAATATACTTGAATGTTTGTATTGTTATCTATGTGATGTTCCTCAATATTTCTGACCCAATCTTCCCACTTATTTTGAATTGTAGGGGGGCTAAGCGAATAAATTATTGCCTAACAAAGTGCTAAGTTTAGAAGGTTAAATTGCCAACCAACTGTAAACTTGTACAATAACTAATGAAATAAATTCAAATTTAAATGTTGCTAATTTCAATGTGTTCCTCAAAAGTGACACGCTGTCACGCTACAACAGAGCAAAATTTGGGGTAGAACATATAAGGATTTGTTAGGATATCATCTATTATGACTCCATAACTTAACCTGATTATCGTGAAAAGTAGGAAATGGTTAATGAAGGTGACACTCGTAAGTGATGCATCACAACTTAAACTGATTGTGATGAGCAGCAGCAGCAGCAGACAAGGTTGGCTAGATCTTCACCAGCAAGTAACGCGGCACAGCTTAACCAAATTGTTGAGAAAATTAAATGTTTAATTAGGTTAAAAGTTAAGGTCAGATTATCAACAAAAAATGAGTTTGAATGGAATGGTACAAATTGGAGGACAAATAGTTATAAAAAAGAGTAAATATTGCTTGTTTGAAAGAATTGTTAAGGTCTGATTCAATAATTTTAAGCAAAAAATAAAAAAATAACAAGTTTTAAAATAAATAAAAATTATCTTTTTTGCTTTTCATACAATTAAATTTACAACTTTGTTACAAATTTTATTATTTTGGATGCTCCACATCAAAATTCAAACTTGATTTAGATATGAAATCACATCCTTCAACTCTTGTAAATAAAAAAAATAATGTGAGAGTGAGATTGGGGAGTGTAAATGAAAGTGCGAAAAGGAGCCCAGTGAATTTTTGTATTTAAGTGCTTGTGGCTAGGTTAAAAAAGAAATGTTGTTGTTTTGGTATTTTGGTTTTGAGAAAAGAAAGAGAGGGAGCAGAGAGAGAATATAAAGAAAGAGAAGAGGAAGAAACAGAATGAGAAATAGAAAGAGAAATTAATCAGCTTGCTTGTTCATAACCGTGGCGAGCTATCTAGATGTGTGGTTCCAACTAGGGGTGTAAGTGAGCCGAGCCGGCTCGCAAGCTAACTCGGGCTCGACTCGTTTATGAGCTCGTGAGCCAAGCTTATAGAGCCACGCACTCGAGCTCGAGTTTGAGGTTGATGAGGCTCGGCTCGCGAGCTTGTGAGCCGGCTCGAAATTATTAAATTTAAATATTTTAAAAAAAATAAGAATAATAATCACACATGTTGCAATTTTAAATCCCGCGTACATTTTAGATTTTCGTATCCCGCATCATTCTTAAATCACAAATGCCACCCTCTCTCTCTCTTCTCTAACAGGCTAAGGCTACAAACTACTAAATAATAAATGCTAACAGCCTAATACACTCATTCTCTCTATGGCAAACCCAAAAAATAATTGCCTCCTCTCTCTCTCTCTCTCTCTCTCTCTCTCTCTCTCTCTAGATAGATAGATAGATAGATTGCAAGAGACATTTAAATTTTCATTTGAGAAAAACTTGATATGGTATAAGATGGCTATTTACATAAAAGTTCTAGGAGAATCTAAAAACACAACATACATTAGTAAGGATACTTGGAGATGGAGTGAGATTGTATGAATGTCAAGGAAATGAAACATGTTTTTAAAAGTAGCAAAGGATAGATGCCACCGGGGCTTCTAGTGAATATTAAATACCTAAAAATCTTGCAAAGAGAATAATGAAAAATGCAAAAACAATAACTTACTAAATTATATGATAGATTTGGTATTAAAGAAGAAAAATGGAGGTTTATAAAATAACTAATGCAAGAGATAAAAGATCTAACCTTTTATCAAAGTCAATGCATTAGAAGTGTCATAGCCTCATAGGAGCTTAATTAAAGATGAAAGCACAAAGAAAGTTCAAAAGTATTTACAAAAAAAAAAAAAAAGTTTAACATCTCCCGTAACATCCAATGAGCACAAATAGAAAATAAAATTCACATGGTCAATGCCAAATATTTTGGATGATGATGCATAGAGAGGAGCCTGAAGTAAAAGTATGCATAATTGGTTTCTAGCTATTTCTTTCCTGTTGTTGTACATCCTTGATCAAGTTTTGTATATGATCCAATTCCTTTCTTGCACATTTGACTACATATGAACAATGTGAAAAATATTCCAAGAGAATGCTTATTTTTTGAAACATTGCTTTAACTCTAATCCAAATTTGATGGAAAGCTTAAAATCACCATCATGATTAGTCAAATCATAGGGAAACTTCCAAATCATGCCTTGTCATTCATTCCTAATGAATATTGCATTTCATGTACAATCTAATTAACAAAAAAAAAAAGGCACAACTTCTAGCTACATTACATTGGTTTCTCACTTGACTTTCCCGACTTCTTTCATGCAAATTTTGCAACCGACTTTATCAATACATCTTATATTCTTTAGTGGACATGAGTAGTGAACCTAAAGCTCCATTTGCTAATATTTGCTTAAGAGCAACATTTCCAAAAGCTTTCATTAAATAATTTCAATGTGCATAAATGCACAAGAAATACCAAGATGTGGCTTCTCAATCATGTAGAACACATTTACAAATTAACTTGTCTATCTTTGCATTAGTTGGGGTACTATAATTCCTACAGTGAATAAATATCAAGCAAAGCCTAAATTTATTTGCCATACCCATGTTTTCAACTATAATCTAACCATTTTACCTTTCCTCATCCTAGCCCTCCCACAAATCCATCTTGACATTCTCATCCATACCCAATAATATTAAACATGGACTTTCCATGAGAGGGAACATCATTGAGATGAAGCGAACATGCACCATTAAATTTTAGATTTCAAGGCTTCTCAAGTACTTAGTAATTATATGCAATATGCACTTAAGAAAAATACTCTTAGGTCCATCTCAATTGAAAGGGAAAAATAATTAATTCGACATGTCCAATTATGGTAATTTGGCTAAGCATCCATTAACATTTAAAATCCTTATTTATTTCTATCACCGATATAGGCTCGTTAAAGCCAACAATGAAAAACTTCAATAAACTCAAAAAAATTGCCTTCGTTGGGAAAGAATTCTCATTATCTCTCCTCGCTGCATGCAACGAATAATATCCGATTCCTTTTTTACAGACTGCCAATCCGAAAGTCCATAATCGGCTCAAGTTGTGAAAAATACTTCATTAACTCAAAATACCAGAATTTAACTAAAATAAATCGCAGCTGCATCTAACTTGCCTGAGATTCAATAATACTGAAAATTTACCAGTATAAAGCACAACATAGCATCTTGAGAATAAAAAATCAACTCAAAATTGGAAATTTCCACCGATTTAAAGGTATAATCAGTAAGCAGAACCCAAGACATCTGAATAAACAGGCGCACCTTCCTGGATTGGTAGTGAGGTATCGCGACTGTCATCCCTAAATCATTACAAGAGAGTACTAATTAAATCTTCAAGCAGAAATGAGAAATTAAGATCACATAAAACAAAGATAAGACTGATTCTGAATAGAGCCGGATATTACAACTGGTTTTCGAGTTTCCGGCTGGACAGCGTTCGGCGAGAAGGGCCGTCCTGCTTCGACCGCCGCGCCCGGTTGTAGCCCATCGGAGTTCAAGAAAGGAAAGGAAGCGTAGTTACAAAGAGCGAGTTCAAGGTTTCAGTGTTTCACCGACAATGCACTTCCAAATTCCAATAAACCCTCAATTCACAAAATCAACCAAGCTTTGTTACAAATTTGCCCTTCTTACACTTATTTTTTTTTTAAAAAAGAGAGGGCTTATTTGATATTATTTGTATTTTTTTTTCATATATTAATTTAGTATATTTTATAATTATTTTTAAAATCAAATTACAAATCAATTTTTTAAAATCACTATTTAATAAATTAAAAATATTTATATACTTTTAAAAATAACTATCATCATTAGTTATATTAATAATTGTCTCTACCAACTTATTCAAAATTCAATTAAAAATATTATATTTTTAAAATACTAAATATAATTTATTTTTTAAATTAAAAATTAAAAATCAATATGATCTCATATTTTCTAAATATGAAACAAAATTAATGGTATAATGCTTTTTATCATGTGAAATTTATAGGTTGATAGGGAAGAAATAAATAGAAAAAAAATTTATTCTTTATTGGTTGTAAATTTCATTATATTAGCTGTGTTTGAAGTATTTGAGCAATTGATGCTAAGACTTTGTGATGTTGAATTGAGAATATATTATTTTTTCATAATATTTTCGAGTTAAGGGTTCAAACCGCAATTTGAGTCCGAATCAAGGGTTCAAAGCGCTATTAGAAGGTTCAAACCGCAATTTGAGTTACCAAA